CCTTCTGCAAAACATTAGTAAGTTCTAGTAATTTTGTATCGCAATCAGAAAAATGGGGGAATAAAGGATTAAATTTTTAAATATATTTGTGAAACATCTTTTTACACGTGCAAGAGATTTTTGCGGCACGTGAAACAGTTTAATAACATTATACAGTTCCTACAGTATGTTTTGTATTCTTTTGACCAACAAGTATTTTTAGAAAAGCTGGTGCACCAGCTTTGTCCTTCGGTCGCCGCTCATTCGTTGGCGCGAAGGATGATACATGAAAGTTTTTAGGATCGCTTTCTTACAGGTAAAGTACGTTTCATTGACTTTTTTTGCAACATGTTGGAATTAATTTTTTGATGTGGTTTTATTCAACGTAATGTGTTTGATTCTGTCAGTTTAAATGAATGCGCAGTCTTATTTTCAGGGCACAAGTAGAAGTTGTCTTCAGTCACTTCCAAAATCTGTATTAGCATGCGATCAGTCTTCCCATTTGGATATACATCACGCACTGATTGGTTTGCTTCCGAAATTTATTCCTTGCTTCAGGATTGAAGCATTTTTGTTCCTTACTGTTGTATAAAGCGAAATGTACTTTTTTTGTTATGTTTTGTACATAATTGTATATATTTTTCGTTTCTATGTTTCACCTTTTGATTATGATAATGTTTTTGCTAAAATATTTCTTTTTTTTAGATGAACAATGACTTTTGATGTGCTGTCTCTGTAATTGTTACTTACTATTTGTTCTGTGAATAACACAACACTTGAAAATATTTGATGTATAAGTTTTTGCTGCGAATTATTGTGAATAAATTCTCTTTAAGTGCCGTGCATGGATTAAGATGTTACTTAAACATGTATACAGATCTTTACTCAAATAAATTATCGTCATTCTCATAGCTCCTTCCTCAACGCCAAAAAATTCAGCCACCATTTTTTGAATTGATTTCATGAGGCGCAGATTTCACTGAAGGCGACAGTCATAGTAGTAGTGCACTGTTTTCGACATAATTTAATAGTGCACTATTTTCGACATAATTTGAGATTTGGAGGTGCTGCACTCTGCTTGTTTTGAGATTGCTTGCAATGTTTTGTTAAGATAGCATTGATTCTGCACATGCTTCGCCACAGATGTTCATTAAGTCATGATTGAGAATGAGCAGAATAGTTTATTATTAGTAACTGGAATAACTAAACAAGCATATGATAAACTTTCGAATAGTCATTAGAAAGTTTTAGTGCAATAAATGTATCAGCTTTGGTGTTTTACTTTTATATTCGTGACTATTATTTTCAAATCAAATCAGTCAAGTCTTTGCAGGCTTTTCTAGCAATGATGACTTGTATTTTTTTAAGCTGTGTTTTAAATGCAAAATAATTTCTGGTTATATTCCTGCGCAATCGTGCTGATTTTATTTCATAGAAGACCAATGTGATACATGGTGAATTACACGAAATAAGACAAATTTGGATTTCAAGGTTGCTTGAGGTAAAATATTTTTGAAACTGAATAATGAAGATATGCAATTTCTAAATTTACGCATTTTTGCCAGGAGCAGGAGTTGATATTCCCATGCTCGATAGCTGCAAGCAATCTTCGAGACTGAAGACTCGACCATGCCTCATTCCCGGTACATTCCAGTTGAGTGAGCACAAACTTCTTGCTCGATTTGATTTTGGATAACTTTTTTTCATTTGCTGTTCGAAAAATATCCTTCTACTTGCTGCAGAGGAAACATCAGGGAGTGGATCTGCTTCAGGAATACTTTCCATTCTCTTTTGAATCCTACCTTCATTGCATGCTCTTTCTTTTGCACAGTTTATAGTTTCCCATGTGATATCCTCCTTCACTACCAGAGCTTTCTGTCGATTGCTTTCAGATTCTACGTCTAAATCTCTGAGTTGATTTCTGTCTGGTTGAAAATATCCAATATTATTATCTTCCTTCTTCTTTTTCTAAAACAAACTGGTAAAAAAATTATCCTTTATTTGTTAATTAAAACATCGTCTTGATGCATTTTTTAATTTAGTGCCAAGATTTTTATTCATTTCAATACTCTTAATTGGCCAACGATAATGCTTAGAAAACATAGCCATCTTGAAAAACTCGAAATGACAGTACGGACGGGCAATAACACCAATAATACATACTAATACACTATGGCTTGTAAGACGGTCACAAACTTTGCCAGAAAGCACATATTCTGAGAATTTCGCGCATTCCATTAAAAAAAGTGTTTAGAGGAAAGTGAAATGAGTGCAAGGTCGAATGCAAACAGTGTTGAACTGCTGCTTTGGTTCATTCGAAAATTATTAGTATTTCTCTTAAAATTGCCAAAGACGGAAAGAAAATTATTATTATTATTATTATTATTATTATTATTATTATTATTATAGAACTATTGATTAACCTTTTTCATTAATGTGAACATCTGCGCGTTTATTATAGTGCTAATAGAAAAAAAAATAACTGTCACTGAAATGATAACGTGAGCCGAAAATCGTAGCATCTCTGCCAGCAACTGCAGCTATTGCAAACAGTTTCAAACGATAATGATATAAATAAAATATTTCAGCGAGAAAATAAGAGGCAACGGCTTCTCAGTGCACGTTGACTTATTGATCGAACAATGGAAAAAGCTTGCAGACACTCCTGTTTACACAATGGTGAACAATTCAAATACGCCACTTTTATGCTACCAATGAATCAAAGGTCATTGGAATTATATAGGCTCGTTGGAACTAAACTTGACAGAAATGATTTAACACTACCAAATATAAACAAGGTTTTATTCAAATACATGACAGCAAATGCCAAATATTTACTGAAATACATTAATGCCAAACTTTGCACATTTAAATTTGACTGTGCCGGACACGTATGTCTTCATTCAATCACTGCACAGTTGCCAGTTTTCAGTAATCAAGAAGATGCTTATAAAATGACAACCATATACTTGCTCCATACTTATGAAATCGAAACTGAACTTTTGAAGTCACATGAAAAAATCATTCAAACTATTTTTGCAGTTGGCAAACACATGCATCTCTACAAATCCGAGACTCTCGTCATCACGATATACATAGTATCGGCATCCAGTCATTACAGAATGTTCATGATACTGTTCATCCATCACATCGCATCTACACCTCATGAAGCAAAAATAAAGTCGAATATGCAAATGCAGACGAAGAGTAGTCATTGACACCTTCTCTCACCGCACACTCCTAATTGACTGTAGAAAAGTTGAAATTAATGATTTAACTCTACTCCAACATTGAGAAAATAGCTCCTTCCAATCACATGCAACATGTGCTACGCAATGTATAGATAAAATCCACTTGTATTTTGTAGATGTAGAAGCATTCATGCGACATACTATTTTATAAGAAATAAGATCATATAAAGTTGAAAACACGTATAAGAAAACGAAATAATCAACAAATTTAATTTCGAAAAACACGATAAACCATGATACAAAAAATACGAGAACAATACAAAAATGTAAATAAACACTAAATTGATACATAAAACAAATGCATCACATCAAAATTGCAATGCGCCTTCTATCTGTTTCTGTTCCGGGCAAATTATTATAAAAATTTTCGAGAGTTGAGAGATTTTTATCTCAACTCATCATAGCTCTGAAAGCAAGTTTATGAATTCATTTAAACTGAAAGATTTAACTACATTCTGCATGAACTGTTTAGATGTCGTGAACAGAAATGTTCAGCTAATTCGTATCTTGCTAGAACTTCTAGAATTATGACTACACAATAAAACATGCTTTACCTATTAGCAACCGATCCTAAACTTTCATGCATCATCCTTCGCGCCAACGAATCAGCGGCGATCGAAGGACAGCAGCTGATGAGCCAGTTTTTCTGAAAATGATAGTTACAGCGAGATGATTCCAAAAACCTTTAGATTCACAGTTTAAGGATTTATTTTCATATGGTGTAATTTAGACGTAGGACTCAGTAGTCAAATAGCAGTTTCTACTCGTTCCTTTATGAATTTAACAGCAAAAAAAAATCATAAACCACCTTAAAAAAACATTATAGTGTTTAAAACTGAATCACAGAAAAATAAATGAACAGCCAGTGAATATTAATCTCAAAATATTAGCAAACTGATTGCGATACAAAATTACTAGAACTTACTAATGTTTTGCAGAAGG